TCGCTGCAGCTGAAGAGGGTAAGACCAATTTTACAATTTCTGCTCTGGCTGAGAGAGAAGAAAACTCCACAAGAGGTTTTTGTGGACCTTCTTGGAGCTGGGACTTGGTTAAGTTCCTCCTTGTGCCCCTGAGGAAGAGGGAATGGCAGGTGGAGGGATGGGGATCACCGGGAAGGGGCAGCAAAGGCACTCGAAGGGATCCTCGGGTGGCACAAACTCTGAGCTCTTTCACAAGGGAGGTGGGTTTGGAAATGGGCTCACGGGGCTCCAATTGGCTTGTAGGGACCTGATTCCACACAGTAGCTCCCAGAGCACACCCAGCAGATCCATCAGGATTGCTGGGTCTGGATTAGGCAGGAAAAAAGAAAGAGAACCTGGAGAGTCAAGACTGGAGATCTCGAGAAAAAATATTATTAAAAAGGGGGAGAATACAAGAAGTGAACTGAGTTTCCTCTCACCAGGTTGATCTCTTGCTCCACACAGCTCTGCTGATACTCCACAAGATGTGCTCCCGGGGATCCTGCCACGACTACGAGTCCTCCTGCCACGGATCCAGGTCTTCCTGCCACGGATCCCGCTCCTGCCACGACTCGGGGCCCTCCTGCCACTACACCATCCAGAGGCAGCCGGTGCAGAAGTTCAGCTACGTGACCCCCTGTTGCCCCCCCGTGCAGCGTTATTGCCCCCCCGTGCAGCGTTATTGCCCCCCAGTCCCCTACTGCCCCCAGTACACCAAGAACATCTGCAAGATGCCACCAACCTACCCCAAGTACTGAGGAAGGATCTGATCCTGGCACCCGGATGTGCTGCCTTGTTCCTCGCCCAAGGCCTCAAGCTCACTGCTGTGCTCATGGCTTTCCAGCCTTTTTCCAGCCTTTCCAGCCTTCTCTCCAGGCAAACAGTCCTAAGAAGGGTTGGAGGTGACACCATTTTGGGGTGAAGCCTCTTGGTCTCATGAGTTTTGAGCTGTTTGTCCCCTCTTCACTGGGAACAGTTTCCTCCTTGCTTTGCTGCTTCGCTCTCCTGCAAGACAATAAAAATGGTGTTTCAAGCCAACCGAACAGTTCTAGGTGTTTTAGTCACCACTCTGTCACACGGGATGGATTGATGGGCCAAGGTATGAGTTTAACAAGGCCAAGCGTCCAGTCCTCCACTGGGATCACAACAACCCCCTGGGAAGCTCCAGCTGGGGGAAGAGTGGCTGGGAAGCTCCAGAAGGACCTGAGGGAGCTGGGGGGGCTCATCCTGGAGAAAAGGAGGCTCAGGGGGGACCTTCTGGCTCTGGAATTCCCTGACAGGAGGGGGGAGCCAGGAGGGAGTCGGGCTCTGCTCCCAGGGAACAAGGGACAGGAGGAGGGAAAATGGCCTCAAGCTGTGCCAGGGGAGGGTCAGGTTGGCCATGAGGAGGAATTTCCTCCTGGAAAGGGTGGTCAGGCCTTGGCAGGGGCTGCCCAGGGAGGTGGGGGAGTCCCCAGCCCTGGAGGTGTCCAAGGAAGGCCTGGATGTGACACTGAGTGCTCTGGGCTGGGGACAAGGTGGGGATGGGGCACAGGGGGGACCCCATGATCCTGGAGGTCTTTTCCAACCTCAGCAATCCTGGGATTCTGTGCTTGTCTGGTGGCATCTGTGTTTTCTTGTGGGTTTGGAGCTGTGCTTTAATCCCTGCTGAAAGCAGCTCAAGTAGGAGGAATGCCAAGGAAACATGAAAGCCATGGGAAATGCCTGCAGCTCCCAGCAGTGATCCCAGGAGCACCTCACGCAGAGGGCTGGGAGGGTTAATTGGAAACAAATCCTTGCACTGAGCTCAGCACACGTTGGGGGGTTTGGATTTCCAGCCAGGGGCCTGACCTGTGGATTCCTGTTTTCCCTGCATGTTCCTGCTTTCCTAGGGCTGCATTTGGAAGCAAAACAAAGCAAATCCTGCAGGGTTTGCAGCTTGCCTTGGAACACCCTCAATTAAACAATTTCTGCACTGTAAAATAAGGGAAGGTTTCCCTGGGGTGACTCATCCACCCACCCCGGGCGTGGGAAACAGGCTGGAATGAGCCGAGCTCTGCAATGCCCAGTAAATGAGCAGTTGGTCTCTAAGGAATGGGAATTCCCTATTTACAGGTTATGGAGAAAATCATCATTACAGAGGAACAGCCTGAAAAGGAAAAGTGGCCAATGGGATGCAGAAAGCAATTAATTACTCACCTGCACGTGGGTTGCTGTCCCTGCCAAGAGGTGGCTCATCTTCACACGACCCTTGGCAGCTGCGCTAAAAACTCATTTTCTGACTCATTCTTGCCCTCCCTGCAGGTGGGTGTTGAGGTAGGGGAGCTCTGTGTCCACAGCAGTGGGTTTGTCTTCAAGCTGAGACTTTCTCTTGCTGCCCCAGGAGTCCAACTTTCTCCTCTGTGACTGACCACGGAACATTTCTGCGCCTTGGAGCGAGTCCAGAGGAGGCCACAATGTTGGTGAAGGGACTGGAGCCCTTCCCCTATGGAGACAGGCTGGCAGAGCTGGGAATGTTCAGCCTGGAGAGGAGAGCACTCTAAACAGCCTAAAGGGATGTTTCTGCTCTCTTTAATATGTGTTAAATAACATAACAGCAGATTTCCACAACCAGGATAAACTGCGGGAATCCCGGAAGGATTAATGAGGAGGAATTTGTTTCCCAGCAAGAGTTGCTTCACTGCATCCATAATCCTCCAATCCAAACAGACAGAGGGGTGTTACTCTACTCCTGGCATCTTATGGAGCCTCCTAAATCCCTTCACTCCATGCAAAATTTAATTGGGAATTTTTTATGTCTCTAGGTTGAATCTTTTGTAAAATCAGTGATGGGTCTCCCCATGGGATCCCTGCAGATCCATCTCACAGAGCTTCAAACCCTTTTGATATTCACATCCAGCTCTAGCAGTGGGGGTTTTGGCTCTCTGAATGAAGCAATGCACCAAATCCATACAAAGTCACACATAAAACTGCCTTATTTTCACACATAAAACTGCCTTATTTTCACCAACATCTCTTACTTTACCTCCCTGCTCAGGATTCCCCATATTTCCAGTGTTGGATTCTCCTGGAATTTCTCTGCAGGCTCAGGAATCCCCTTGGCTGTTTGAAGAGGCGCAGGTACTCAGCTGGTGTATAAATCTCAGTCTCTAATTAGATGATAATGTGTGGCAGTGACCTGGTCTCATCTGCTCATTAGCATGAGGCTGAGCTCAGTTAAGCCCATGTTTTAGTGAGCAGGAACATTGACCTTGGAAAGACCTTGCCTGGAGAAGTGGTGACTTCATGGCCCTCTGAACCCCTCGAAGCAAGAGCAGCTCCTCCAAGCTGCGATGCAGCCAAGTTTGAACAGAAGTTGCCCAACAGAACTGGGTGAAAACAGAGGCTTTGTGTCCCCAGAAGTCAAACAGAAGGTTCATGAATGACCTATTGTGTCCTCAGTGTCCAAGATTTTAGTCCTGGCTGAGTAAACACAGCCTAAATCTTCTCTCCTTCCCCTCAGCAGAACTCAGGGTGTCTCCAGAGAAGCTGTAGGACACAGGGGAGGGTGGCCAAGCAGCAGGATCAGCCCTTCTCCTCGGGGTGACCTCAGACACAAAACCTTCCACCACGTCAGTCACGGTCCCGAGTCCCCTGAATTTCCTCTGACAGCAGAGAGATAATATTTTATAAAGATGTGGTTTAATTTGAAATCCTCGAGGTGCTCGGGACATCCCATGGAGCCTTCAGGCAAAGCAGATATTAATGCCCATCATTAATGAATAATCACAAGGTGATCATTATCATCGGCACTAATGGCTGTCCATGGGTGACTGAGAGGTGAGCACAGAGTTATTCCAGAAATCACACCTTCCATTACTCGAGGGCAAAGTGGAATTTGAAAAGAATTGAATAGGAATTTTGCAGATCGAGTTGTGCTGAGCATAAACAGGATGCAAAACTTCCAGAGGGGTTTTGCATTCGGCTTTGATTTGAATACATCAAAAAGGAGTTGGAAAAATATGGACCCCGACTTGAGCCGAACTCCGGATTTCCACGGGGAATTTGCACAGTCCTGGGCACCTAAATTGTCTTGGCAATGATGTTGGCAAGGCCCTGAGCTGCCAGAGCTCAGGGGGTGTTTGGGCATGGTGGCATTGGTGGGGCTGTGCAGGGCCAGGAGTTGGACCTTGATGATCCTTGTGGGTCCCTTCCAACGCAGGACATTCCATGATTCCATGATTCTATTCCAAGGCCAAGTGTCATCCCCTGCATGGATGGGATGAGACAGAGAGGGGCAAGATCTCAAGAACTTTCTGTTCCCTATTTGTCCTTCTGATGACCAGAGACCCCCCTGGGCTTCACCATTTCTTCATTCAGACACGAAACACGAGGCCATGGAATTATATTTCCTGGAATTCTATCCTAAAAATCATATCAAGGAGTGACGGACATCCAGAAGCCTCTGTAATCCACTGCACCTCAATCTTAATGAGGATTTTGATGTTAATTAAGCACTCTCCAGCTGAACAAGCCACGGAGGATCTCAATGTAGCAGCTTTACCATATGCAAAACAAGCAGAAAAAAAACCCCTTTAAAGAATCCCACAAGAATTAACTTGACATTAAAAAACTGTAAAAAATTCACACAACAAATTGATAATGACACAAAATTGAGGTCCTGGTCAAAACCCACGAGGCAAAGACTAACCAGCTGAAGGCCCATTGGGTGAATAAGTGGAGGCTGAGTGCGTAAATCCCGAATTGCTGGGGGGTACCTCATGTCCGGCAGGACAAGCCCGAGCTAAATAAAAGGTCTCCAGGTCCCTTTGCTCCTCACACAACTTCACCTCTCAGCTGCTACGGTAAGTGGTACCTATTAGCAGTGGTGGTGATGGTTTGGGGTTTGGTCAATGGAAATGTGTCTTTGTGTTTGATCTTTGCAGGGTGTTGGACTGGATTGACCTTTAGAGGTCCCTTCCAACCCAAACTGTTCTCTGATTCCATGCTCTGCAGCTCTCTAGGAAATCCAGATCTTTTGAGCCTTTTGGTCTATTGTGTCTTGCAAAAAGTAGGGAGGGCAGAGTGGAAAATGAGCTTCTTGGGGTGGAAGTTCAGGGAGCGATCTTCAGGGAGGAGGGAAGTTGGATGAAATCTCTCTGGGATAGCGACAGGTGGCTCGATTTCTGTAAGGATCTTCCTTGGCAACTCAAGGAAGTTTGGCACCTCAAGGAACTCAGTAGGAAGCAGGATGGGATGTGGGTACCACCTACAGCTTGAGGCAGCAGCACTTCTATGCCAAAATTAACACTAGGCTTGGAGAGACGGGTCGTGTCTGAAAGTCTGTTGTGTTTCAGGTCCTCACTCCGTCCACCCTCAACCACACTCCCAACAACATGTGCTCCACTGGATGTTGCTCCACAGGATGCTGCTCCGTCGTAAAGACCAAGACCGTGTGCTGCAGCCCCTGCCAGAAAACCGTGTGCTGCAGCCCCTGCCAGAAAACCGTGTGCTGCGAGAAGAGCGTGTGCTGCAGCCCGTGCCAGCAGTCCTGCTGCTGCGACCCGTGCCAGAAGACTGTCTGCTGTGACCCGTGCCAGAAGACTGTCTGCTGTGACCCGTGCCAGTCTGTGTGCTGCGACCCGTGCCAGAAGACCGTGTGTTGTGAGCCCTGCTGTGACCCATGCCAGCAGGCAGTCTGCTGTGACCCATGCCAGAAGCCCTGCTGTGACCCGTGCCAGACTGTGTGTTGTGACCCATGCCAGAAGCCCTGCTGTGACCCGTGCCAGACTGTGTGTTGTGACCCATGCCAGAAGCCCTGTTGTGACCCGTGCCAGCAGGCAGTCTGCTGTGATCCATGCCAGAAGCCCTGTTGTGACCCGTGCCAGCAGGCAGTCTGCTGTGATCCATGCCAGAAGCCCTGTTGTGACCCATGCCAGCAGGCAGTCTGCTGTGATCCATGCCAGAAGCCCTGCTGTGACCCGTGCCAGACTGTGTGCTGTGACCCGTGCCAGAAGCCTTGTTGTGACCCGTGCCAGACTGTGTGCTGTGACCCGTGCCAGCAGGCAGTCTGCTGTGATCCATGCCAGAAGCCCTGTTGTGACCCGTGCCAGCAGGCAGTCTGCTGTGATCCATGCCAGAAGCCCTGTTGTGACCCATGCCAGCAGGCAGTCTGCTGTGATCCATGCCAGAAGCCCTGCTGTGACCCGTGCCAGACTGTGTGCTGTGACCCGTGCCAGAAGCCTTGTTGTGACCCGTGCCAGACTGTGTGCTGTGACCCGTGCCAGCAGGCAGTCTGCTGTGATCCATGCCAGAAGCCCTGCTGTGACCCATGCCAGCAGGCAGTCTGCTGTGACCCGTGCCAGAAGCCCTGCTGTGACCCATGCCAGCAGTCCAGCTGCTGTGACCCATGCCAGTCTGTGTGCTGTGACCCGTGCCAGAAGCCCTGCTGTGACCCGTGCCAGTCTGTGTGCTGTGACCCGTGCCAGTCTGTGTGCTGTGACCCGTGCCAGCAGCCTGTGTGCTGCACCAAGGTGTGCCAGAAGTCTGTCTGCTGTGTGCCCCGGCCCTGCTGCTCCTCCTGCTGCTCCTACGTGGTGAAGAAGCCCGTGGTGGTTTGCTGCAGCCCCGTGCAGTGCTGCACCACTGTCAGGAAGTGCTGTGTGCCCTGCATCCCCATCCAGCAGTGCTGCATCAAGAAGAGCTGCTGAGCTGTCCCTGGGTGGCAAAAGCACCTCTGCCAGCTCCACGTCTGGTGTGCAACAAGAACAGGCCCCAGGAGATGAAAACCTGCTTGTTTGCCTCTGGTTCTCATCACAATGGAGCCAACACGTAGGGATTTTCTTCTTCTTCTTTTCAAGCTTAAGCTGCTGCTTCTTTCTGTCCTTTAGTTATTGAGTATCTTCAATTTATCACCCATAGTATAAGGCAAAGAGCCATTAGATATTAGTGGGGTGTTCATTCTCTTCTTGGTGGTTGGGACTTGGGAGCCCTTTGCTGTTAATGTGATCACTCTTCATTCCCTCTCTTGGCTTGTAGACAATAAAACTGAGCATTAAGCAAAATGCAACCTCTGCTCTTTTGGTTGTTCTTTCCCAGCTTTGCCTGGAATTTGTCCTCGATCCGGTGCCATCTGTGCCTTTGGCTGCAGATGAGCTCCAGTGGCACAGCAGGACATTTAGGGAACAAAGAGCTGCCCAGTCTGCTGGCACAAATAAGGTCATGTCTGAAGCAGAGCAGCCTGAGCCACTGCAATGGGTTGCCCAGAGCAGCTGTGGCTGCCCCATCCCTGGGAGTGTCCAAGGCCAGGTTGGACAGGGCTTGGAGCAACCTGGGATAGTGGGAGGTGTCCCTGCCCATGGCAGGGGGTAGGACTGGATGATCTTCAATGTCCCTTCCAACCCAAACCATTCCATGACTCTAGGATCCCTTCTTGCCCCTCCTGATCATCTGCCACAGCTCAGTGTTTACTGTAAAACTTAAAGGTTAAGGTAATTAAAACTCAAATGACAGGGACTGATAGAGGCATAATCCCACCACCTGAAAACACACCACTCCGTAAATACTAGAATCATGGAATGTCCTGAGCTGGAAGGGTCCCACAGGGACCATTCATCCAACCCCTGGCCCTGCACTGTCACCCCAACAATCCCACCCTATCCCTCAGAGTGTTGTCCAGACCCTCCTGGAGCTCTGGCAGCCTTGGGGCCATGCCCACTGCCCTGGGGAGCCTGGTCAGTGCCCAACCACCGTCTGGGGGAAGAACCTTTTCCTAAAATCCAGCCTAACCCTGCCCTGGCACAGCTCCAGCTGCTCCCTGGGTCCTGTCCCTGTCACACAGAGCAGAGGTCGGAGCTGCCCCTCGAGAGGAAGTTGTAGAGCCCAGTGAGATGTACAGGAACTCCCTTATCTTGGAAAGGGTATTTCAGGAGGTACTGAGAGGAATTCACTACTCACTGAGCACAGGCACCATCTTCTTTCACTGCCATCTTCCAAAGATAAAAGCCCAGAAACCACTGGAATTGTTCTTACGTGAGCAGAGCGTTTCCTCCGTGCCTTCCTGGACTCCGAGCACTGGAATGAAACCCAGGGCTCAACATACAACTTAAAAGCCTCATTCCTAGAATAGCCCACACATGAGTCGGGGATACCTCTCCTACCTGGTTGGGACTTTCTTTGCTATTAAAATGCAGGAGTCAGCCCTGAATTGCAGGTCTGGGGAAGGTGCCTCGAGCACTGCCTTGATTGCTTCCTCAACCTGCATTAGAATCATCTTCTCTACCTGTTTAACTCTTCTGAAAACACTGCCCAGGTGTTCAGGAGGCTTTTACTGAGGTAAATCATGTACAATGCACTGGCAGGAGGATATTTTATACCATAACTAGAGCAGAAGTGCCTTGTTTAAGGAAATAATGTGATTATTAATTTCATCGTGGAGTCATGGAATGGTTTGGGTTGGAAGGGACCTTAATAATCATCTCATTCCACCCCCTGCCATGGGCAGGGACACCTTCCACTAATCCAGGTTGCTCAGAGCCCCATTCAACCTGGAAAAGCTGCAGGGTCAGATCCTGCCCCACTTACAAAGGTCCTGCAGGTCCCAAACTCACAGAACCACCACAGTTCACAAAGACATCACAGAACAGGGCATGGCATGTAAAAGGGACTTCATGGAGGTGTCATTTCTGACCCCATTGTACATTAAATGACATTTAACAGCAGGAAAAATGCATTAAATGTTGAGAGTGTTGGGGTGGTTTAGCCTGGAGAGGAGAAGGTTCCAGGGAGAATCTCAGAGCCCCTTCCAGTGCCCAAAGGGTTTCAAGAGAGCTGGAGAGGGACTTTGGGCAAGGGATGGAGGGATAGGACAAGGGGGAATGGCTTCCCACTGAGAGAAATGAGGTTTAGATTGGGTATTGGGAAGAAATTCCTCCCTGTGAGGGTGGAGAGGCCCTGGCACAGGTTTCCCAGAGAAGCTGTGGCTGCCCCTGGATCCCTGGGAGCGTCCAAGGCCAGGCTGGACAGGGCTCTGAACAACCTGATGTAGCTGAAGCTGTCCCTGCCCATCCAGGAGGGTTGGATTAGATGATCTTTGGTGTTCTCTTCCAACCCAAACCATTCCACATTTCTATGATTATAGAATTATTGTTTCTGTGATGATTGGGACCATCTTGGCCAATAGGGCAACAATAAAGCCCGATAAAAACGTGATGAATGACTTATTCAGGGGAGGTGGCTGAGGCTTTACACAGGCAGGACGTTGCTTCCTGCAGGCAAGTTTCTGCCTATTATGCAGTGACAATGCTTCCCTGGGGACAATTCCAGAAGGGACACCCAACGCCACGGTCGCATCCTGGGAAGATACATCACGTCCCGGCCACCAGGGATCACCTGCCAGCACATCAGCCCCACAGTCAGAGTCTGCTGGACGTGATTTGCCTTGAGTAGGCGCTGCCTCAGCATCTTGGAACTCTCATCTTTTGTTGGTGGCCCCTCTCAAGGCATGAAAGCACCATCAACAACTTCTCACATGGGGTTGATTTAATCCATCCATTCCATGGATGAAAATTAAAAAAAACCCTTAATATATAACAGAAATAAAAAGCAGGGAGTGTGAGGGCCCAGCACCCTGAAGGGAGACCCAAGAGCAAGGCTGAGAAAGGAGAAACCCTTCAGCCTAAACTTTGACCCCAGGGACAGGAAACCAAGGATTCCCATTGACCAACAGTTCCCACTGGTCCCCAGAAATTCCCCACCAAGGGCAGAGGGGACACACGGGTGGGGACAGCTCCAAGTTCCAGGCGTGGTTCTCCCACTGCTTCAGCACCCACCCAGCCCCAAGCACATTGCTGAGTGTGTCCTGGGGTCACCCCTGGGGAAGTGGAGCTTCCTCAGAGCTGCCTCCGGGGCCATTAACGCAAATTCATTAGGAAATTTGCGTCTGTTGTTCATGTGGAGGAGTAATTACGGGGCAGAATTGAGGAGGTGAGCAAAAGGAAAGAGGTAAAGATTAAATGCCGGAAGACACATGGGAAGGATGTGCCGGGTGACCCCCAGGGGAGTCAGAATAGCCAAGGAATGTCTCATTTCCAGGGGGGGAGGCTTTGGAGAGTATAAAAGGCTCCCTGGCAGAGGGGTCTTCATTCACTCACCTCCACTTCTCTCCAGTCCTCACTGGTCATCAGGGTAAGTTGGAGTTTGCTGCTTGCCTTTACTTTTGGACTCGGTTTCTGTGGGTTTCTGCAGGATTTTTAGTGCTGTCTGGTTTGAGACCAGGCACTACAGAAGATCTGGGGACCAGGGATTGGTTTTGGGGACCAGAGATTGGTCTGTGACCAGAGATAGGTTTGAGACCGGAGATGGGTCTGGGACCAGAGATGGGTCTGGGACCAGAGATAGGTTTGAGACCGGAGATGGGTCTGGGACCAGAGATGGGTCTGGGACCAGAGATGGGTCTGGGACCAGAGATGGGTTTGGGCACCTCCTGGGTGGTTTCTCTCTGATGGAACCAGTGTTGGACCATGTGCTAAAGGCACGAGTATCCAACGCAAAAATGTGGAGATCTCAGGGACAGGCTGCCCTGGGATTCTGGACACCAGGCACCTCCCCAGCCACTTCGGGATGGACTTTGGGATAAGAATGCTTTAAGCTGGGTGATTCAGGCAGCAAAAAAAAACCCCCAAACTCTCTTTTCCTTCCAGCTTTGCCAACACTCCAACCAACAAGATGCCCAGCGGCTGCTGCGGAGGAGGAAGCTACTCCCTGACCTGCTATAGCAGCTCCAAGGGCTGCAAGAGGCCCGTGTGCTGCTCCCCCATGCAGTGCTGCAGCCCCTGCTGCATGCCCGTGCAGTCCTGTTGCATGCCCATGTCCATGCCCTGCTGCTACACCATCACCAGCAACAACAACGGCGGCTGCTGCGGCGGCAACAACGGCGGCGGCTGCTGCGGTGGCAACTGAGCCCTGCCTGGCTCCTCCCTGCTGGATTTGGATATGGATACGGATAACAACCCCAATGTTCCTCCTCCTTCACTTAGAGATGTAGATCTTACCTTCTCTTCCTGCCTTCTGTCCCCAGCTGCTCGTGAAGGGCTTTGAAGCCGCTCCCCAGCGACCACTGGGATCTTCCTTTGCCAGCCCTGGTCCTGCTCTTCGCTTCCCTCTTGGGGTGTGGGATGTTGAATTCTTTTTGTCACTGTTTGTGGGATGTTGAATTCTTTTCTTCACTGTTTTGCTTCAATCTGTCTGAAAAAAAAAAAAAAGGCAATAAACTAGTAGTTTGTGACCCTGCAAACCTCCTGGAGTTGATGTGTTTGTTTGCTGCCTTTTCCTTGGGTGTTTTTCCAGTGTTGGGATGTTCCTATTTCCAAGGTGTTAAATGGAGGTGAGGGGGGGTTCCTGCACAAAGAAAATCAGGGCATCCCTGATGCTTCAATTTAAGCACTGGTTGGGTTTCTGGCACCGCTGTGAGCAATATTTCTCCGCCCAGTATAAAATAAAGAAATGGGAAGAAAATAGGAGAGGAGAAGGTGGTGTGGAGATTTCAGAGCAGCTTTCCAGTGTCTGAAGGGGCTACAGGGAAGTAGGAGAGGGACTGTTCATCAGGAACTGGAGTGACAGGACAAGGGGGGGTGGGTTCAGACTGCCAGAGGGGAAATCTAGGTTGGATATTGGGAAGAAATTGTTCCCTGGGAGGGTGGGGAGGCCCTGGCACAGGTTACCCAGAGAAGCTGTGGCTGCCCCATCCCTGGGAGTGTCCAAGGCCAGGTTGGGCAGGGCTTGGAGCAACCTGGGCTAGTGGGAAGTGCCCCTGCCCATGGCAGGGGGTGGAATGGTATGAGTTTTAAGGTCCCTTCAAACCCAAACCATTCTGTGATCCTATGAAAATAATACAATGAACTCATGAAGGACGTGAGCCCCTTCTGAAACAGTCTGACACAGGAAAGCTCCCTGGATTCCAAACAGCCAGAGATCTGCCTCAGGACCTACAGACAGCCAAATAAACAGTTTGACACTTAGGAGATAGAGGTCTTGCCTCTGCTAAAACATCTGAGTAACCAGATACCGAGTTGAAGTGCGAGGACAAATCCTGAGAAAGCTCCGCTGCCTTCGAGGAGCGAGAGGATTAGCTGGAGTTGAACCAAAACCCTCAAAAACTGCACCACAGTCCTTTTTATGCATTTAATGCCCTTTTCTTGCTCTGTTTTCACACTGATATGTCCCTTCTTTGCATTCTGATCCGTATCCCACTCCCCAAAGATGGTTTGAGCACCTCGGTTACACCAACAGCTGGACACAACTCCCCGGGGTGGGAAATGCCCCCCTAGATCAGCCCTTCTCACAGTTGCAGGACTTGCCTATGGAAAATTTCCCTCTGGAGGCACAAGTGAAACATTTGCCTTCACTTCTGCCCCATTAATTCCTTGTAAGTGAATAAATAAATCAGTTCTCTTGGGCTGGGAACTTGGTTCCTCCTCAGAGGGGACCTGCTGGGGAGGAAATGCCACACGTGTTCTTCTGCCCTGTCTGGAGAAGTTGCAATTACATGTGTTGTTCTCCAGTTTTACACTCAAGGAATTATTCTCATGCCAGGGAAGCCTGGAAAGGAGTTGACAGCATTTCCTGCAGGGCTGAAATAGCACTAAAATCTCAATCTGCTCCCCCCTTGCACTGTGCAGAAAGCAAAGCAAGGCCACTGTGACCATCCCGGGGGCTGGGGGCAGCTCACCCAAGAGGACCCCTCTGCAGAGCACCCCAGGGATCCCCAGGGATGTGAGGAAGCACAGGGAACTCACCAGGCAGGCTCCACCATCCTCTCATTAGGCAGTTCCCAGGATAATGTACGAGCTCCTCCGATGGGAGCTGCAATTTCAGACCGTGGAAAAAATTCCTCCCAAACCCCCCATTCCTGCCAGGACTGAGCCCCAGAGCAAAGCGTTAAACAAGGATTCATCCACCCTGCCCAAGGCTCTGCCTTACCTTGACCTTCCTCCTTCCCTCCCAGAAAATGGTTTTACCTCAACAAAGTCCCAGCAGAGTCCCTGCCTCCCACTCAGCCCCGTGAGCCCAGGCAGGACCAGTTCTCTGTGCTGGTCACCTCAACCTTCTCACCCTTTGGTTCATTCGGGGCTCCTTCCATTTCCAACACCCACAGAGGGTCCTGCACCCACCTAAAGCCCCTCCCTCCCTGGTGAGATGTGGGGGAGAGGCTGGACATGACTCAGCCCAGAACCCCCCTGTGGCAGCGGGGCAGGAGGGATTCTGTCCCCTCAGCTGAGACCCCCCGGCAGAGCTGCCCCAGCCCTGGGGAACAGCCCAGGGAGCACCTGGAGCTGCTGGAGCCACTCCAGAGGAGCTGAGCAGACGGATGGAGCAGCTCTGCTGGGAGGAAAGGCTGCAGAATTGGGATTGTTCAGCCTGGAGAAGAGAAGCTTCGGGGTGACCCGATCGTGGCCTTTCAGAGCCTGAAGGGATCCTGCAAGAAACATGAGGAGAAACTATTTAGAAGGGCCTGGAGTGACAGGATGAGTGGGAATGGGTTCAGACTGACAGAGAGGAGAGTTAGACGGATATTAGGAAGAAATCCTTCCCTGTGAGGGTGGGGAGGCCCTGGCACAGGTTGCCCAGAGAAGCTGTGGCTGCTCCATTCCTGGAAGTGTCCAAGGCCAGGTTGGAGCAACCTGGACTAGTGGAAGGTGTCCCTGCCCATGGCAGGGGGTGGAATGGATGATCTTCAAGGTCCCTTCCAGACCAAACCATGCCTTGATTCCATGGCCTTGCAGGACTCTCGTGCGGGTGACTGAGCCCCGAGCTCGGGTGACTCTCAATGCGTCCCCATCACTTCTCGCTCCCTCCTCATGTGCCCGTCCCCGTGACAGGAACAAACAGCCCCATTTCCATGACGTTTCCCAAACCCATGTTTCAAACACCAGCCTGATGAAACCACCCATCACGAGGCCCAGAGACACGAGGCCGGGGCTCAGTTTCGGGCCTTGCACTGACTCAGCAGTGGCAGGTGCTGAGTAAGGCCCAGAACATCCCCGGCCCTCACTGCCTCCCTTTGTCAAACAGATACGAGGATGCATTTTTCTGGCTCCCTGGCAAGGTTGTGGGGAGGACAAATTCATCAGTATTCATAGAAGCCCTTTGATTATCTGCAGGCTAAACAATTATGGGGCCCAACAAAGGTAGTGATCACAAGTAATAGGGCAAAATGCAAATACCAGGCGACACGTAGGGCTAAAAAATATGGGTTTGGGTTGGTAAACAGGGAAACTGGGATGGTCAATGGCTGTCTCACTTCCAGGAGGAAGGTGTTCAGGACTATAAAAGGTCTCCTGGCCCAGCTCACTTCATTCGCTCGTCTTCTCCTCCCTTCACCTCTCCTCACTCTTCAACAGGGTAAGTGAGAACTTCTGAATCTCCCTTCATTCCCCAAAAGGAAATCTTGGATATCTGAGAGCAGCATCCAGATCTAACTGGGGATCTGGGATGGGGTTTGGGAGCTGGGCTTCTATAAACTCTGCACAAGGAGTTACGGGGCCTGGAAATGTTTAAGGAGGCTCCAGGAGCATCAGCAGGGCCAGGCAGAGCAAGGGGTTGGAGAACATTCCAGGAGGGCCCAGCCTGAGGACTGCGTGCACTGTGCTGAGCTGCTCTTCCTGGGAAATTAGGGATGCCTGGGAATGAGGAGGTGGGACTGACATTGGAGGAAAAAGAGGAGTTACAACCAAGATTTACAAAACAAGACAACCCTTGGTTTCACCTCCTCAAACCTCCAAGTTGAGCACAACCAGAGCTTTGAATGAATTCTGTACTTCCAAACCTCCTGCTCTCGGTCAGAGACTCTCTCTGCTCCTCCCAGCTTTGCCTGGGGTGGTTTCCCTCTCATGGAACCAGTGCTGGACAATATTCCAAGTGCACAGGTGTCCAAACCAAAAACATGGAGATCCCAGGGACAGGCTGCCCTGGGATCCTGGACACCAGGGACTTTGGGATGGACTTTGGGATAAGAAGGCTTTAGGCTGCCTAAAGAACCAGGAGATTCAGGCAGAGAAAAAACCCAAACTCTGCAGTTCCAACTTCCTGGGCAGGGGCAGAGGAGGGGCAGGACTGAGCTCTGCTCTATGTGAGCAGGGACAGCACCCAGGGAATGACTGGAGCTGTGCCAGGGCAGGGTCAGGTTGGATCTCAGGGAAAGGTTCTTCCCCCAGAGGGTGGTTGGGCACTGCCCAGGCTCCCCAGGGCAGTGGGCACAGCCCCAAGGCTGCCAGAGCTCCAGGAGGGTTTGGCTGATCCTCTGGGGCACAGGTTGGGACTCTCGGGGCTGGGCCTGTGCAGGCTGAGGGTTGCACTGGATGGTCCTTGTGGGTCCCTTCCAGCTCAGGACATTCTGTGATTCTTCCCAGCTTTGCCAACTCTCCAACCAACGAGATGCCCAACGGAGGCTGCGGCTGCTGCGGAGGAGGAAGCTACTCCATGACCTGCTACAGCACCCCCTCGTGCTGCAAGACCCCGATGTGCTGCTCCCCCATGCAGTGCTGCAGCCCCTGCTGCATGCCCATGCAGTCCTGCTGCATGCCCATGTCCTGCTGCTACACCATCAGCAACAACAACAGGGGCTGCTGCGGCGGCTGTTGCGGTGGCAACTGAGCCCCCGGCCCTGCCCGCTGCCCTCCCGGCTCACCTGGGCTTCCAGACGTGGATATGGACCTGGACACCACCCCTGCTTTGCTTAGAGACTGTAGATCTCCTGTCCTTTGCCTGCTTTTGGTCACCCAGTGCTCGTGCAGTCGCTGCCCAGCGCTGGGTGGGGTTTCCCTCCGTGAGCCCTGGGCCCGCTGCTCCTCTTCTCTGGGTGTGTGGGACGTTGGATGCTGTCAGTTCTCCTTTTCCTCCCTTTAACCTCTAATTAGTCATGAATCATAATAAAATGTGTCAGTTATGATCCTGCAAACTCCTGGGTTATGTTTATTCATTTATTCATTTATCTTTCTCTTTTAAACCAGAGCTCCAGTCTGGGACGTTTTTAGCATTTGTTTAATTTCTTAATGTAATTAATTTTGTAACTATTTGTCATTCTGCTGATGACAACACCCCGAAGTGGTGAAATTCTTGGGTCAGCCTCTCATGCAAGGGAAAGCAGGATTCATCAGTGCTATTTCAGCATCCCCTTGGTCACCCAGTTCCATTCTCTTCCCCCTGCTTTGACTTTGGAGACACAGTTTGCAATCAAAGCATCTGTGCAGCCCTAAAGCCAGAGCTAAAGGTCTTTTTTCCTAATGGAATTCTTTCCAGGGAATTTGCTGAGATTTAAAAGGTTTGATAAACCTTTTAAGAGGTTTGATATCTTGTCAATAAGATTAAATAGACCAGGAAGTGTGGGAGGGAGTCATTGGCAGAATCACAGAATCACAGAACGGTTTAGGTTGGAAGGGACTTTAAAGATCATCTCATTCCACCCCCTGCCATGGGAAGGGACACCTCCCACCAGACCAGGTTGCCCAGAGCCCCAGATATAAGTCCAGCCTGATGGATTCAGAAATAGTACCTAATTTATCTGGAATTCTATTCAAATATGGCAATATTTAAGAGACAAGATTAAGAAATTAAATATTTGCACTTGGTGATTTGTGAAATCCTCAGGAAGGGAAGTGACTCCAAAGCCACTCTTTTAAATCCAAGCCCAGCATAATCCTGGGACACTGGCAACGAGTTCTAAATCTAAAATCCTCATTGGCCTTGACAGATACCAAGTTCTTTTCCACCTTTCCCTGCTTCCTGCAAGGCAGTGACACTGTTCCTGCAGCTACAGAATAAATTATCTCCAGCACAGCCCTGAAACCACACCCCTGAATTCTGCACATGCTTTCCCCAGTGATTCAGACCCAAATTCCACTGGACAAACCTCTGAGCATCCCTTGGAGAGGCTCCACCGTGGAGGGAGTGTATGGAAATGCCTCCTGCCCTGGGGGCTGCTGGGAGAGATGTTTTCCCAGTCCTTAAAAATGCCTCAACCCATCCACAGAAATGCAAAACGGAGCAGCTGTGCTGAAAATGGGTCAAAGGAAAATGTCAGAAAGGTGGATATGCTGGAATCGTTGGTCCATGAGGTCACTGCTCCTCTGGCTGCCCTCATTCCAGATTTTCCACACATAAAAGCAGATTTTCCACACATAAAAGGCTTTTCCTTGCTGTAGTCACTCACCTGGCTGAGGTGCTCCTGACCTGGAAGGGAATGAATTCATCTAAATAAGGGAATAAACATCCCATCCCCAGCCTGCCCTGGTCCATCCCTGCTCCTGGTGTCCGTAGGGATCTCGGGTTTGGAGCTCAAGTCTTCCAGTCACACACGGGGCAGCAACACCTGCTGTTCCTTATGGTCCTGATGTCACCCTGGATTCCCTCCCCGTGCCCTGGAAGGACTCCTGGGCCTTCCTGTGGTTTTCCCACTGCCACGAGAGTCTCCTTTTGGGCACATCACTCAGCATCCCGGTATTCCAGGTATCCTTATCCCAGGATCCCATCTGACTGACAGGAGGTAACAGCACATCTGAGCATGACCAGTGGGAGAACTAATTAGATAATGGGCCACTGCACATGCAAAGGAGCTGAGCTGACGTTCCACCGAGGGAGATGCTAATTGGGGCTGATTAATCCAACAGCAAGTGCCAGAACAAAACACACACATGGCCGTGGCAGAGCTCGGCTCCTCATTCCCAGGGCATGTCTCATTCCCAAGAGACCTCGGCCACATATAAAAGCTTTCAGCCCCAGCTCTGTCCCCAGGACTCCGACTCTCTGCCCAGCCCGTCCGTCCCGCTCCCGGGGTGAGTTGGATTCTCTCAGCTCTCTCAGGTTCCTCACTATTTTTTCACAGAAACAGCAAAAAAAAAGGAGTTGTGGTTTGGTTGCTTTTTCCCAGACAGTTTATTCCTGAGGGCTTGATCATATGGCTTGTGAGTCACCTGAGGAGAACTCCTGAGGGAGCTAGGGGGGCTCATCCCAGAGAAAAGGAGGCTCAGGGGGGACCTTCTGGCTCTGGAATTCCCTGACAGGAGGGGGGAGCCAAGGGGGGTCGGGCTCTGCTCCCAGGGAACAAGGGACAGGAGGAGGGGAAACGGCCCCAAGCTGTGCCAGGGGAGGGTCAGGTTGGCCATGAGGAGGAATTTCCTCCTGGAAAGGGTGTTCAGGCCTTGACAGGGGCTGCCCAGGGAGGTGGGGGAGTCCCCAGTCCTGGAGGTGTCCAGTGCCTGGATGTGGCACTGAGTGCTCTGGGCTGGGGCCAAGGTGGGGATGGGGCACAGGGGGGACTTGGTGACTTTGGAGGGCTTTTCCAACCTCAAGGATTCTGGGAATGATTCCGTGATCTCTGCCCCAGGATGCAGCACCAGAAGGGCCTCAGCGACCAGGACTTGTGCCACGACAGCTCGGGCTGTGCCAGGAAGGGCTGGACATGGCCAAGATCCAGCAGGAGCTGCCACGAAAGCCCCGGGAGCCTCAGCCACGACCTTGATGGGTCCTGCCAGAGCGCTCCCCAGGGCTGCCAGCCCCCCGAGCCGTGCCCACCCCAGCAGAGCTGCCAGCCCCGTCGGCGGGTGGAGGTGAACCACGCGCCCCCCGCGTGCCCCCCGCCCGCCAGGATCCACCGCCGGCCCCTGCAGCAGTACCGGCCCTCCCCGCCCTGCCAGGACCAGGAGTCCTGCGGCAAGCCCAGGAGGAGGGTGGAGCAGTGTCCCCCCGAGGATGACAGTCCCCCCGTGGTCCTGCAGCCCCTGCCCCTGCCCCATCGCCGCCCCTGCGGCCCGTGTTGCCCCCCACCCGTCCAGAGGTGTCACCCACCCGTCCAGAGGTGCCACCCACCTGTCCAGAGGTGCCACCCACCCCTCCAGCGCTGCTGCCCGGCCCCCATCCCCCTGCCACCACGCCCCTGCCACCACCAGCAAAAGCAGGTCACTCTCTTGCCACCCTGTGTGCAGAAGTGCTGAGCACGGGGACAGCGAGGTGCTGGGACCCCTCCCCGGGGTCTGGGACCCTTCCCCAGCATCTGGGACCCCTCCCCAGCATGTCCCCAGTCGGTGCTGGGGGGGTTCCACTCCTTGCCCAAATGATGCTCCCGTGGCTGAAGGTTCATTGCTGCTCTTTGCACATCAGATTTGGGGTCCCAACCCCCTGCTCGGCCCCAGCACTGACACTTTAAATTTCTCTCCCCTGCCGGGCTTTGGTCTTCCTTGGGGAAGAGAAGCTGTTTCTTCCCTCGTCTGAGCAACCTGGAGATGGAGGAACATCCTGCCACGGATTCACCTTCTCCCGTGGGTTCAGTGGACTTTGATTTCAAAGATGTTTGAAAACAGCAACAGGACTTTACTGGGAAAAAAAAGTAACCACTGTGACTGCAGGAGCATCAGGGACTCCTGCACATTTATTTTCTCCCCGTGTATTAGAGAATAAAGCTGAAAAAAAATTAGCAGACACTTGGTTCCTTTTTTTTTTTAACCCCCCAAAACATCACTAACGTTACAACGAGATGTTAAAAGCCATTAAAATTCTCACGAGGAAACTTCAAGTCAAAATTAGGGTTCACACCTGAGGGTTTCAGCTCTGGCCGAAGGGGTTTCACCGGGAAAATCCTCCCCGCCGTGGTCACCCACCACAGGACCGCGGGATGGATCCTCTGCGGTGCAGAGGGAGGTACAATCAGTCGGCTCTGTGAGCGTTCCAGTACCTTCCTCACCCAGAGAGCCCTGCGCCGGCACAACACCCTCATTGAAATGCTAATCACCTTAATGAGCGCGTGGCCCGGCACGTGAGGTGTGGCTGTGCGTGCCAGGGATGCCTTTTCGCTCCCGCAGGAAGGTGCAGCCCCAGCTCTTCCCCCGCAGCTCCCCGGCTCTCACAGGCGCTGCAAACCTGCTTTTTCTCTCTCGCTTTGCCAGAAAAACCTCCCACAAGGTGCATTAAAATATCTAATGTTGCTTCTGTGTGTTGCTCAAGCGTGTCCTCGCGGAACCCCCAAAGAAAACTGGAAAGGGAAAAAAGGAGTTTCTTCTTTTTTTTTCTTCACCACAACAATTTATTTTTCTCACGTCTAATTTTACCCAAACAAAACACCACTTATATATGAAATCTAACTTAGGAGATCCCTTATTTTATTAGCTGTTTTATTCCCAGCCTCTTCCCAGTTCCCAGGCACTGGTCCAGTGCAGTGACTCAGAGCCCACAGACTGAGTTTAGCCCTGACCAGCATTTCCAGGTCAGCTTTGGTCCATCTTATCTTCCAAACTGCTTTTCACTTGCCATCCCAGGCCTCCCAGCCCAGTTAGTCCAGCCCAGTTAGTCCAGCCCAGCCCTCCCAGTCCATCTCAGCCACAGGACCGTTTCTCCAGCACTTTCAGCCCCTCACCCCAAGTTGGTGCCACCTGTAGATTTGCCAAGTCCACCCCATTATCCGGGGCATTAATAAAGATCTCAAACAGCACAAGTGTCAGCCAGTTTTTCACCCACCATGTAGTTCATCCATCCAGTCCACACCGGATGGACAGTCCAGTCCACGAGGCTGCCGTGGGAAACTGTGCCAAAAACCTTGAGGCAGCACCACCCATCACACTCATGGGATCCTGGAATGGCTTGGGTTGGAGGGGACCTTAAAGATCATCCAGTTCCAACCCCCTGCCATGGGCAGGGACATCTTCCACAAGGCCAGGTTGCTCCAAGCCCTGTCCAGCCTGGCTTTGGACACTTCCAGGGATGGGGGATCCATGGAATAACCTGTGCCAGGGCCTCCCCACCCTCACAGGGAATATCCTAATATCCCCCTTCCTAATATCCTGTCTAAACCAGCACATGGAATCCTGGAATAGTTTGGGTTGGAAGGGACCTTAAAGATCATCCTGTTCCACTCCCTGCCATGGGGGCACCTTCCTCTATCCCAGGTTGCTCCAGCCTGGCCTTGGACACTTCCAGGGATGGGGCAGCCACAGCTTCTCTGGGCAGCCTGTGCCAGGGCCTCCCCCTGCACAGAACCAACCTCTTCATCACCAAAACCCATCAGCACAATTTGCTTTTGGTGACTCTGAGCTGGTTCTTCCCAGTCACCTGTTTGTGCTTCAGGCACCTCCTGGAAATGTCCCTCCTGGGCAGCAGAAGGGGAAGGCCGGGTCGTTGAGCCTGGGCACATCATGGCTCCTGACTCACAGGTCACACATCAGCCTCCACTCAGTGTCCTGGTGCTCTGGAGCTGGTGAATAAGTACTTTATTACCTGCCTCACAGGACAATGTGTGCCTTAAATGCTGTAAGTCTTTTATGTGCCCCGCTGGGTAATTAAAAGATGCTTATCAGAAATCGTGAGTCAAGCAGGACATGGGAACAGCATCCAAATGGAGGAGATGTTTTGCCAATAAATAATTTAATCCTCGTTCCTGTAGAGTGTTTCATTTATGAGGGGAAGACTTGGAACCCTATAAAAGGCCCCGGTCCCTTTGCCTGTCACAATCTGCTCCCCTGGTCAGCGCCTGCCTTCCCTTGGGAACGGGGTAAGACACAGCCCTGGGTCATTTTTGGATGGGGTTTGGATTCAGGAGGTCACAGACCTGACTTGTTACACTTGGACCCTCAAGAATGATGGGCTAAGCCAAGACAGAAGCTGTTGGGAGACCTGAGTGTGGCGTTGGCACCACGGGCTAAGCCAAGAAAGAAGCTCTTGAGGGTGTGGGATTTACACACATGGTGTCTTATGGTTGATTCTGTTCCTGGAGAGAAAAATATGAAGGGGAAGGTCAGAAAGAGGGTTTGGACTTAATCTGATAGCATTGGGCAGCTGCAGGTGTTTCCTTTAGACCCAGACCCTCAGGATAGTCGGGTGTGACCCGGTCACATCTCACTAAGGCAGCTTTACAGGGAGTCAAACAAAACCAGAGGAGACGGTGACACCAGCCTGCTGTTTTCCAGGTTTTTCCCTGCAGCTCAACAATGATCTACTCTTCCGGAAGAGAATCCTACTTCAACCTGAACTCCACCTGGTACGACCCCTCGGGGTCGTGGCTGGACACCCGGCGCACCCCGTTCCGCTACGGCTACGCCAACTGCTGCTCCTCGGGCTGCGACGGCGAGGGCGTCGAGGGCATGAGGGGCCACGACTACCGGCACTACGGCTACAGGCAGCCCGTCTGCTCCGAGAGGTGCCAGGGCTACGGCTCCTCCGAGTGCTGCCACGGGGGCTCCGCCTGCGTCCGGAGACCCACGTACAGCTACGGCTCCTCGGGGGGCTGCCAGGGCTACGGGAGGTCTGTCTGCTCCGAGAGGTGCCAGGGATCAGCAGGGGGCTGCCAGGGCTACGGGAGGTCCGTCTGCTCCGAGAGGTGCCAGGGATCATCCGGCTCGTGCCACGGAGGGGGCTCGAGCTGTGTCAGGAGACCCACGTACAGCTCGGGGTCGGCAGGGGGGTGCCAGGGCTACGGCAGGTCGGTGTGCTCGGAGACGTGCCACGGCTCGGGGTACCAGGGGGGCAAGGTGAGCTATGGGAAGGCCTCACAGTGCATCCCACAGTGTGTCCCGCAGAGCAGCCCCAAGTGCATCCCACAGAGCTCCCAAAAGTGTGCCCCAAAGTGCATCCCACAGAGCGCCCCAAAGTGTGCCCCAAAGTGTGTCCCAGTGCAGACCTGTCCCCCTCCAGTGCAGGTCTGTCCCCCTCCAGTGCAGGTCTGTCC